AAATGATTGTCTCCCCACGAATGTTCTTCATATATGCTTGCTCTATTTAAATTTATGTTAAGATTGACCGGACGGATTGAAAGAATGAAATGAAAATTTGATTCATAGGGTTTACTGTTAGTGCATGCTAGTGTACAAAATCTGGATCGTTGATCTCACAATCAACGGTCTAGATCTTATCATTTTAGCGGTTGTTTCAACCACGTTCCCTTCGTTGCACGAATCTTGGTCCGACATCATCTGAGTTGTTGATTCAGATAGCGGAAGATCTGACGGTGGCTAAGCACTACTGACTCAGATAAGTGGGCGCGGCACCGCGTTGCCGCCTCTCACAATGATTGCCAATGATTGTCGGAGGGCAATCATTGGCTATATTGATATTGTTACTGATTATCATGAAGAGCTTTAGGCTTCATTTGGGACTACTTTCTTACCGCTTCTTAAAGCAACTTTTTAGTATAAAAATTGAAATTTTATACTATAATGTTATTTTAAGAAGCAGTCCCAAATGAAGCCTTAGTATCTGCTGAGTTGAAGTCATCACAATGTCTATTAAGGAGATGCTGATGATGTCTTCATAGGATCTTGATGACTTCCAAATATCATATGCTTGAAGTAAAAAATCTAAATATTTTTGTACAATATGACTATTAATGAGCTTTAAAAACTAAGCTAAAGTCTTTAGTTATTAAATTTGAGTGCATATATGAATGGTTCTTCTCTAAGCAGCAACATGTTCCAAATATTCGACATTTAATATTTCATTAAAGTGATAAACATCAAAGAGAATTACCTACTCCTCGTTTAATTTTCAAGAGGATTGACATGTTTTTCAAAGCCTTTTGTGCGTTAGCAAATTGCATGATAGAAAATTCAAATTCATTGGCGAATAAAACTTTATTCTAACAACTTCGGTTTAAAATGAAACCCAAGTTCCTTTTACCAAGTTTTAAAATGACTCGTCAATTAACACATTTGGGTGACTTAGGCTTCGTTTGTGACGGTTTTCTTATTGCTTCTTAAAGCAGCTTTTTAGTACAAAAATTAATTATTTTCTACTAAAAAGCTGCTTTAAGAAGCAGGAAGAAAGCCGTCCCAAACAAAGCCTTAATTTGATTGATGAATGGCTGAATCCAATTCATACTTATCAAATGCCTTGATTAGCAGCTCAAACCCAAACGATATTAGATGTACATAACTATGTTTAATAAAGCTAAAATTATTTTCTAGAAAATGAGTTGTTTTAACTTTTAACTCCGCACCGTTGGAAATTTTTTTATATATTTGTTTTCTTATTTTTAAGAATTTAATATTATACATTTCTCATGACGCCCCTTCTAATATTTTCAAATGAGGACTAGGGGTGTTAAAAATCAAAATAGGTTTTTGGGCTCGGTTCAAGTACAACACGGAAATGACCCGTTATCACCTGATACGGCCCGATTTGAGAAACTGGTCATAGAACCAAACCCGAACCACCCTGATTTGAGTCCAGGTCAGCTCGACATGACCCGCTAACCTTTTTTTTTTCTTTTTGATTCTATTTCACACGCAACGGGCTTCTCTGGCCAAATTAATCCTAAATATGCTCCTACCATTTGGAAATTGGACCTTTCACGCACTGAGCCGACAACACCTCCTTCCCATTTCACACGCTTTGGCCAATTCATGTTCGCCCACTTTCCCAGTTTCCATTTCGCTTGCCCACTGGGCTCTGCAGCCTCGCCTTCCCAAACCGCGAAGGCGCTAACGAAAAGAAATCCCATGGCGAGATTTCTGATTTCGTGTGCTTCTTCAACAAAATCTGTGAATCGGACCGCACACTTGTTCAACAAAAAAGCGTAAATTAGTTCGATCCAGGTTAAAATCAGGTTAATTTTGGGTTGGCGGTTAATTCGGACCCTACCCGTTTAATAAATGGCTCAACCTGAATCCGGAATTTTCGGGTCGGGCCCAAATCAGATTGGCAAGTCGGGTTAATTCTTGACACTCCTATAAGGACATCTTATTGTTTTTTTTTTACAATGTTGACTATATAATGGCAGATTCAATGGCTGAGGTAAGAGAAAAATCATGTATGCCTCAAAGTCAATGGCCCAATTTAGAAAATAACCGTTAATACTAATATTAAAATTGAATTTGAAGCATGAAGTCTTTGAACTAAGCAATAAATCAACATCATACGATAAAGTTGAGAGTAATAATTGAATGAAGGAGAACACAAACAAAAAACAATAAAGTCGAATCCATATCAACAACGAAAGAAAATAAAGAAAAAGATAAACAAACACTTTAAATTAAGGTCTGTTCTTATTCTCATCAAACTTTCTTTGATCCCTTCAGCTATCAAAATACTCAAATTTTTGCATATTTTGCATATTGCACATTATTGCACTAAATGTCAAAGGATTCACGTAGTGTTTTCTTACTGAATATCAAAGGTGTGGCCATGTAAAAAATAAAAAAAAAGGGCTTAGGATTTCGATGGCCAAATTTAGGCTTCGTTTGGGATGATTTTTTTATTTCTGCTTCTTAAAACAATTTTTTAGTATAAAAATTTTAATTTTTGTACTTGAAAGTTGCTTTATGAAGCAGTAAGAAAGCTGTCCCAAACGAGCCTTAATTGAGAACATGCCCATAGTATGTTTTTGGAAAGAAATTATCATAATACTTTATTATAATTTAGAATCTATTTGAGGCAGGCTTCTCGTCATTTTGACTTTTAAATAACAATCATAATTTAATTTCGCTAATACTATCTTGCCGCTTTTTCACTGTTTTCAAAAAGAAATGTGGAATGCTGATTTTTACAACCAGAATAGTTAAGTTGTTTTTCCCACGACAACGTCATAATCAATTTTATAAAATATTATAGTTGTCTCAAACACATTCTTAATTATAATGAATTTAAAATCATTTGATTTATTTTAAGATGAATAAAATATAAATTTTTACTCTTTTGAAATTATTTATTTATTTATTTAAATATCACTTTTCTATGTTAGATTTTAGTGGAGACCTAAGGTAGCTTCTCATTAATAATTTTTACTCACCTTGCTCAAGCTCCTAATTAATGAGCTTGAGAAAGGCCAATAGGAAGAGCAAATAGCAACTCCCTCTACATTACAATGTAATTTGAGTATGATCAACATCCTAAAATGGCTGAGTATGGAGCATATCTTGAACAAGCTTAAACAATAAATATCATTAGATAAGGATTTAGAAGATGATGATATACTAAGTTGATTGTATCTAATGTTTATATAATAGACACTAGGAGGTGCATATCGTAAAATGATACAATCAATTCATAGTGATACTTAACTCACTTTAAGGATAATTACTGTAATCAGTGGTGAAGCCAGAAATTTTTAAAAGGGAGCCAATTTTAACCTTGCTTCAGCTGATTTTTATATTCAGATTAATTAATCAATTTACTATTTATATGTATTATGAAAAATCAATATATTCTATGAAGATATGCTTGCAAATTCCATTAGATTTTTTTTTTAGAAACCGCTCGCGGGAAGCATAAGACCCGGGCTTTTCTAAATTTCGGAGGGAATGCAAGAGTATGTGATGATATGCTTCTTCATATGTTTGTCAGTAGTTTAAGCTATGTAACATTTTAGTAGTATGCAAATTTACCAATAGCAACCTCATCCACATATTTGCTTAGTTTAACTATGCCTGCACCAAGTAATAAACATAACAAATTAGTCAATTATCTGTGTTTGGGAAGGCTTTTTGATTGCTTCTTCAAACATTTTTTTAGTAAAAAAATTATTTTTATATTAAAAAATAATAAAAAAATGTCATAAATGAAGCCAATATCTAAAAAAAAAAAAAAAACATAATCTGCTCTATAAAACAAATTATTTGGATGCCGTTATTTGTCCTTATTTGAACTAAAAGGAATCTCTTAAGGATGTTAGAGTGCAATTCCGAAGATGGATCTTTTGGCGCCATGCATATATTGAAATTATGACATAATATTATCACATGGGATAATGGGTACGGCCTAAATTTAATACAAATATAAAGAATGAAAAATAATATATTTTTTTAGAGCCAAAAATATAAGAATTTATTACATATTTATCCAATTTTGAATTAATTTGTATTAAAGTTATTATAGGATTTATTATTATTTGATTGTGAAGAAACATATAAAATTTTAATTTTCTTAAAGAAAAATTTTAAGCAATTAAAATACATTAAAAATTTTATAATATTCTTAATAAAATAATTGTCAATATTAGATTTTTTTTTTTGGAGTGGAGCCCACAAACCCCTTGAATGATAGATCCTCCCCTGTTTCCAACTCTTGTGACAATTTTACTCGGAAGGTCAACCTTCATTGTGTATTTATTCATAGGATATATTTTAATTTTAAATTTTTAGGTTGATGCCCTCAGTGAGTAAGAAAAGAAAAACTTTGTGAAAAACAAAAATAATAGGGAGGAAATTGACAAAAGTAACTTTGCCTGTTCATAGTTTTCATCTAAGGTGAAACAAAATATTTACATATATAACCCTCTCTCCCAAAATAAAAAGAGGAAAAAAAAATCTACCGCTTGTTTTTATCTTACAATCATTATTTTATAGGCATTTTTATTAACTCGAGGGCCTTATCGAACAATTGAGCCCTGATTTCCAGATACTCGGGCCATGTTACAGATCTGTAAATTGGGTTTTGGCCAGATTGCATTAATTTACTAATGGGTCCCATCTTGACATGCCCAGGCGGGCCAATGATATAAGCCGCGGAGAGGCGATGCTCAGCTCGGCTGACAACCGCGCGATGCCTCACGCTCTTAAACTGATCATTAGAAAGGATTTGAAGGAGATCACCCACATGAATAACTAGAGCCCCCGGGAGAGGTGGCAGAGTGACCCATCGGGTCGGGCCGAACCCATCCTCTTTGTGAAGAATTTGGAGACCGTTGACGCCGCGGCTTTGATAGAGTATGGTGAGGAGGCCTGAGTCAGTATGGCCGGCCATGCCAATGCCCTTCTCAGGCTCTGGACAGGCCGGATAGGAGTTGAGTTGAAGCACCTCCATTGCTTGTTGTAGGTCCTTTATGAGCCCGGCCCGACCCGCTTCTTCCTCATCAATACCTAAGGAGAGGAGCATAAGATTAAGTAGTTTCCCGGCCATCTCCTTCATCATCTTGTTATATTTTTCTATCACGCCACTGCAAAACAATCATACTAATGCTTCAAATAATGAAATTGAATCATATAAAATGATGGAATTACACTACTGATATTTTATTCAAATAAGTATGATGATTTATTATCAAACATCCATTTATTAAAAAAAAATCCAAAATTAATCATAATGAGCAATTAAGCCGTTAAATTTATTTAAAAATAAATATAATGTATAAATAACAATTCATATAACGTGCAACCCAAAATAAATCTAATGAATTTGAAATTCTTTCAAATAAAAAATATGATAATTTTTTTTTTTTTACAAAAGTCATATGGCTACGCAAGTGCCACATCAGCACGGCATCCATAGGTAACCAGTCCCCATAGAGAGCCCCTAATTGTAATTAATTTATATAATATAATCAAATAAATCGACTTGCAATTAGTTAGTCTACTACGACTGTAGTACTGTACTAGCGAATTCCTATTGGTTCACACACCTTACGTGTAGATCTATCGGGACCCACAGTAATATTTAGACCAATTATATCCCACCACGTAAGCATAACAGAACATCCTTGCAGAATCATACCAGAAGACAGACTGCTCCAGAGGCCAGATATCGCCGGCGACATCTCGCTGGTGGCCGCCGGCGATGGTGAACCCCTCCGACCACATGAGCTTTGGGAAGAAGGCGGAAAGAGGTGGCCTCCCGTAGCCCGAGATGAAGCCAGGCCGGCGGGCCGTGTCTAGCTTCTGATGGAGAGGGAGGGCGAAAAGTCTGCGGGCCTGGTATTCCACGTCATCGAGAAGGTCAACGGGGACGCCGTGGCCGGTGGCGTAGAAGACACCGTAAGAGCGGCAGGCTTCGCCTATCAGGGAGACGGCGGTGGGGCTGGATATGTCGATGATGGGAATGGAGTCGCCGCCGCCGGCGGAGGGGTGGTCGTGGAGGTAGGAGGAGGGCCAGGTGTAGGATTCAGGGACATGGCGGGCTGAGTAGAGGTCGAAGTGGTCGAGAGGGAAAGCAGGCATTTTTGCTGTTGGAAGAAATTAATGGTTTAGTGTTTTAGGGGGTTTTGATCTTTATTTATAATAGTTTGGGATTGAAGAAAGGGATTATGAGGTGATTAAGAATGAATTATTAATTAAATCTTTAATTAAGAGTGATAAGTAAAGGAGGACAATAATTAAAGATTTTGATTCCCTGATGGGATGCGTGGGGGCAGGGGAGAAATAATATAACTAAAATTAAGAGAGGGCACGCCTCATTATTCCACAACAGTTGGGGAAAAGTCAGCTAAGCTCTGAACTTGTAATTTATTATAATTTTAATTAAAATTTCTGTTTGAAATTTATTTTATTTTATTTTTTTATAAGTATGACTAAAATCATTATTTTACTAATATTTTTTATAATAAAGTCACAGAATTTAAATAAATAATAATAACAATAATATTATTATTATGACTAAAAAATTTAGTTAAATTTTTTTATAAAAATATGATTTATGTATTGAGTCATAAATATTTCCGTATTAAAAAAAAATGAATTATTAATTTTCAAATTGTGCAGTAGAAAAACAATATATTTACTCAGTGGTAATGAAGCTGTAAAAACATGGAATTGGATGTAATTATGGAGATAGTAAATGTAAATATTTTTTTGGAAGGTTTTATATTAAATGATGTCCTTAGCATCAAGATTTATTTAATATTCCTTACCTTTTAAATAATTATATTTTGATTTTTTTTTTTAATTTTTGTTTAGAAATAGTATTTTAGTGAATCACTACATGTTTGACTCTTGTGCTTAATTTATTTTCATGTTTTTGGGAAAAAATAAAATATTTCCCGAAAATGAGGAATATTTCAACATTTAAAATTATTTTTTATTAATTTTATGATCATGCTGAGAGAAACGAATAAGAACACAACTATAATTTTGACTAAAAAATAGTTTTTTTCATATTTTTTATAGTAACTTTTTAGTATAATTTTTTTTTAAAAGCAACAAAAAATCAGTTGTCAAAAACTATCCCAAACGAAGCATAAATACTCAAAATTTCACCTTTCTCGTTTATTATTCTCTACTATTTGAAAGTTGACTTCCAAGTCCAGACGCAAAAGTTGTATGAGTTTCTTTAGAAACCCCCCCACATGTTTTGCAAGAATGGTTGTCTCTTTCCCGAAGCAAGAAACTAAAAGCATGAGAAGGAAAAGAAAAAAATTCAAAATTATATCTCACAAGCAAAGAGAGCTGAGGGTGAAATAAAAAATTTCTCTTTGAAGATTAAAATGCCAAATATAATTAAACAACATATTAATCCATTTCACATGTAATTTATTATTTATTTCATTATAGTAATGCTCGAGCAAAAGAATTAATTGTACATAATTTTATTTTATTTTATGGATCATTGTTATATGTTTACTTGAGTATAATTTATATCTTTTTGTTATTTTTTAAAAATTCCGATCATATTCAGCTTATAACAATTATGAATTTGTTTGAGACAGATTTCTTACTTCTCTTAAAGCAACTTTTTATATAAAAAATATAATTTTTTACTAAAAAAACTATTTTAAAAAAACCTAAATATCTTAGAACACAACATCTGTAAAAACATTTTTTTACAGATGAGGTGCTAAGGAGAAGAAATCAAGCTCAGAAGGAGAGGTAGAAGTTTGTCGTCAATGGAGAAAAGACATTGAGAAAGGAGAACAGTAGAGTAGCATGCAAAAGAGGAGAAGCGGAGACAGAAGAAGCTACGAGGACTAGAGCTCATTTTTTGCCTGACATAATATTAGCTTATCGATGGAAAATGTCATAAAAGGCAACGGTAATAAGTAGTTATGGACAGCTCCATTGAAGGGAAATTATTCTATGCGGACACTGAACTTTACACAGACTAATGAGAGTGTATCACGCTATCCGGTACACAGTACGGTACATAGAATAAAAGTAACGTGGCACACTCTCATTCGTCTTTAGAAGACATCCGGGTCCGCACAGAATAATTAATCCCATTTGAGATAGTTATTTTTCTACTATTTTCTAAATTAATTTTTAACACAAATTTTTTTAAAAATAGCTAATAATAATAATAAAAAACTGTCCCAAACAGAACTCTCCCCACAAAATCCATCTATACTTCTTTTCAGCCTCTGATGAAATTTCATCAGCAATCAAACAAAAATTTTCTATTGCAAATATACAGTAGTGATATCAAATTTCTTTGTAGTGGACCCTTGAGTTCTCCCAAAATTCCTCATATTTGCATGTTTTTTCTGTTTTTTGCGCCTCCATCCCCCTGAAAAACGGTCCATGAAAATTATGTATCTATTTTTTTAATATTTGGGAAAGAATATTTCAAGCAAAATATAGTTGGCAATGATGTCGAAGAGTGCTGAGAGGAAGAAAACAAATAACTTATAATATAAATTAAACAAGGTAGACTTGGACAAGAAGAGATGAAGAAGGAAGAAGAGAGGAAGGTAGATCATGAAAAGAACCCTTGCTGTCATCATCTGATTTCTCTTATCTCTGAAATTTTTTCAGAAAAAGAATAGCTAGCTAGCACTTACAAATGAATTTCCATCTTCCCATTTCCATCTTCCACTGAACTTCTTAAAACTACTGACCATGGCTACTTCTCATAGCATCTTGGAGCTAGCCATGGATTGCCCTTTGGAAATATCGAAAAATTAAGGTCATGAAGACTCCATCATTTAGCCAAGGGTTACAGGAACTCGTCATATTTGTTGTATGTATTATATAAGAAACAGATGGGAAAGAGAAATTATAAAAAATTCAGAGAGTTTTATGTGATTCAAAAACCAATTCTAGCTCTTTCATTCAGGATAAAGTACAGATCTTACTATCATCTTAATGTTATAATTACAGAGATTACTTCTTTCACACTCAAGATGATTTGACATAATACTCAGAATATATCACAGAACTAAAATATTTCATAAAATGTCTTTTTGCTCACAACCTCGCAACATCTAAGGGAGTCTCCAGCCGAACTCCAAATGACTGTAAGGCGTAGTTGGTTTGCTCCGTTGGAACAACAAAAAAATTACTAATCAGTGGAAGGTGAATAGTGCGACATCAATATTGATGTAACACTGTTCACTTACACGATTTTTCTGTCTCAACTACATTTGTCCAATAAAAGTGCGAAAGAGTAAAAGACGGGTTACATTCCCAGAAACGCCAAAAATGAATTTCGATTGGAGATGAATCACAACACTTTTTACTTTTACTGTATTTTGGAGTGAAAAATGAAATTTTCGGTTGGAGATGCCCTAATGGGGAGGAGGCTTCCCTTGCAAACCCCACATGCGAATTGAAATTTTGTCAACTAGGAAAAAATTCCCAGTAAAAAATAAGAGTTTTATAGGGATGAGGCACCAAGAACTCTGGTCAAAAAATTTATAATTATCTCTCTTTGGGGAGGAAGCTTACATTTGTATTACTGTGGTAGGCTCCTAGCTTATGATATGATCTTATCTTGATAGAATTTGGTTTAAACGTAGGACAAGGATCACCAGACTTGTTCATTTTTGCAAAAAACAAAATCTCCTCAGTTGTCAAATTTGACTGTAATTCTCTTCTTGATATATCAAAGCGGTATGGCTCATATTCATTTAGGAGAACAAAAAATAACTTATGTTCAGTAAGGTATTGGATTATTTGTGGGATATTCTCATAATGCTAAAGCAATAATAATAAAAAAAAAACTGTTTTTCTCTTTCTTTCAAATAAATTTTTGGGGTAGGAAGTATGCCTCATTTCATAATACAATTATCATATTTTCTTACACAAATATTTCACTCCTTTCAAATCATAACTTCTCTAACAAATAATTTTTTTCTTATGATTTAATTTTACAAATTTGTAAGATAATAAAGTCAAGATGGTTAATGCATGGCTTAATAAGTCCATGATCTGAGATTCATGATCATGTCCACATAACAAGCATTATTGAGCTGCCTTCAAATTCTCACTATTTATTATTTGCAAAGATTCTATCTTTTCTATCTACTTAAGGCTTCATTTGGGACATACAATTTTCTTGCTACTTTCTACATCAGTTTTTTAGCATAAAGATTTCTTAAAAGCAATAAGAGAAGTCTGGGCCAAAAGTTGTGCCAAGAGAAGTTATAGACTTTTATTTAAAAAAATTAATTTTTGTGCTAGAAAGTTACTTTATGAAGCAGTAAGAAATTCGTCCCAAATGAATCCTTATTTTGTGTACAGATCCGTTAGCAACTGATGTACTAATCTATCTAATAAATTCAAATAAGATCCATGCATACAAGTCAAGAACAGAACAAAACTTATTAAAAAAAGAAACTCAACACAATAAAAGGTTTTTGTACTTCAAACTTCTTAGTATGATTAATGAAATATGACATTTATTACTTTGAGATCTCCATTTTTTTTAACTTTGATTCTTATGAATGAATGGAACAAACACAGTAATTCAATAAATAAGAAGAAAAATCAATGGTCCCATTTTATCCTATCACTACTGGCCAAAGACAGTTCTAAGTGATGGAGATCAGCCCTAAAAGGGATCAAATTTGGATTTATTTCATGCCGTATGATATTAAAACTGAATAATTATTAAATATTCAATTTAAAACAGATTAAATCATTGAAAGAAGCCGACCCATTTGTCATCTCAAATACTTTTTGGCTTCCACTTGCTTTCATAGCTGTTGTCTTCTAGAAAGAGAACAAAATGCCAAACATAATATATGGTGCCCTATTTTTTTATAAAAATGGAACTATTCCTCTTCTTTTTTTCTTGAAGAAAGAACAAAATTGGGAAAAAAAAAGAAAAATTGAATTCTGATCACTGATGGAAGAGATTGAAACTACTATATATAATGAGCTCAAATGCAAAACAAACATTCTCTTAAATTTTAGATAAATTATTTTTTTAGACATCTTAATACAATCCAATTATGCTTAAGAGTGCTTGTTTTTAAGCTAATTTGTGCTCAAAATCTTAATTAATGCAGTAAGATGTCTAAGGGCATCTCCACTCAATCATCATATTCACTAACAATCGCCACTAATGCCTACCAACACTCGGCGTATAACTCTAGCAGCCACACATGTATGAGGCTCATCTTATTGATCAATCGATCCTCACCCTCCTTTTAAAATAATGACCAAGTTGATCACCTATTATCGCCCGAGTTCTAATATCCCCACTCAATTGTCATCTAAACTCATTACTTGATGACAATTTTGGCACCTCAAAACTTCTTTACTACCACCACAAAAAATTTCTCTTATTACTCAAGCCTATTATATTATATTAATGCCTTCTTCAGGTATTGTGATGCCATTAATAAGTAACTCACACAAGCAAAATTATTTTAATTAGACTAGGCCCATGATTTTTCTTCTTCTCCAAAATTAATCTCATGTAAAAAATCTTCTCTCTCATACACTTCTCTCAACATAGATCCATGTGATCATCATACAACTCTATGGTATTAGATTTTTTCTACCATCATGAATTTTCCAAAACACAACAATAATATTCAAAATTAGTATATATTAGTGTTCATAATGTTCACGATAGTTTAATGACTATCAAGCATGTGAAGGAAAAAAAAAAAAAGAGTGATCATATGACATATAAAGTGGTCTAAATCATTATTTTAAAAACACATTATAAATTGTTACGTGGAATCTGATTATGTTGATTAATTAGGTTGTCTTGCTGTCTCAAACCTCAAGTTTCTTGTGCTCGCTAGGGGGTGTGGGGGGTTTACCCCTGCTTGAATTTTTTTTTTTTTTCGTACAACTCCCCAACACTATTGTGTACCCTAGCGCTTCAGTGTTGTGTTCCTGAGTGCCCTAACTCTAAACGATAGAGAGTAGAGCCCCACAGTAGTATATATATGACAGTGTAGAGGATTAAGACAGAGGTTCAAGCTCCGCGGCGCTCCAAAATGATGTCGCAACGCTGCAAGACGGACTAGACTATTTTTTTTTTTTTTTTTGTCTAAAGGTTTGCATCCCTTGGGACTTGAATTTCTCTTGTATTTTGAGTGTGTGAAGACATTGAGAACAGTGCATGTGAGAAGAGTAGCAAGGAGAGGGTGAGAAAGATGAGAGATCTGTACTTATTTCTCCCTATTTTCATAGTTGATTTCTTGGTGTGGTGTGGCTCCATGAGGTTTCCCTAATTTTTAGTTTTTCCATGTTAAATGTTGGTATCATTTATTTTTCCGCTGCTATTACTTTCTTGCTTGTTTCGCCATTGTAATGTTATTTACTCCGCATCCCCATAAAAAATATTATATAATTCATATATTTAATTTCAATTCATTGGAACACCAAATATGTACATTAAAATTTAGAATTATCTTTTCATGTAATTAATGAGATCCATCTACTTAAAATTTTCAGATACATTCAAATGCAAATCAAATTATTTCTAAGATCACAAAATCAAAGCCTACCATTAGTTTTAAAGTTAACAAAGTCAATGAACATTATCAATCTTTATCTAATGATCACATCACCAATTGTTAATTAAAAGAAAAAAATGACCATTTCTGAAGCACCAAACTTGTTGTAAAAATTCATCCCATTTCCATGAAAAACCTTTACAGATTTTTCTAAACAAGAAGAGAAGTATTAAAAGCAGGAAGTCACCTTCAGTTCTGAAGCACCAAACTTCTTGTAAAGATGGTAGATGATACGCCAAGCTGCCCATATAAGACATGCAAATAAATAAAAGTCTCAGTTATTTGACCATCACAAGAATTATTAAACATTATATATGGATTATTAAAATATATTCTGCATTACCATTTCTATAAGAAAACTGCAGCATTGACTTCTGTTGATATCATTGAAGGTATGCATCTAATGCTGCATGTTTGTCTGAGAATCCTTTCACAACATAATTAAAAAAAACAAATACTTATTAGATTTCATTACTATATTTAAAAATAGCATTAATTTGAATAATAGAATTGAGGATAAAATGATAACTAGGATTTTTACATGTATTTTAATTATTTTTGTGTTATTATTTCTATTTCAAGTTTTATATCATGAGGGTCATATTAGGTCCTCTGTATTGTTTTACCGACATAATTTTTTCCGTCAGAAACTCACAAATCCACATGAAAAGTGGTCAAATCCGCCAATAATGAATGATTTTCCTATAGTATCAGCTATTAATTGATTTGAGAGATTTTTATGAGCCCATTATAGTTTGAATGAGATTGATTGGTAATTATGTTTTTACTCTTTTTGAGTTCATCCTTTTTTTTTTTGAAAACTTAGGAATGGTGTCGATTTTTATTTGCCTTTTGTCTTTTGACATTGAATGAGTTTGTACCTTTTCAAATATAGTTAAATGAAATGAGCATTTTGTAAGCAAATCTTGTGTTTTCCAGTGTTGGAGGACTTTCTTTGAGTTAAATTACTATTACGGTCCAAATAGGACTCTCCTTTACTTCAATTATCAACTTTCTTCTTGAATTCAAAAAAATTTGTGGATCATACACAACTATTTTGAGAATATCGAGTGAAAAAGAGTCTGAATTATGAAAATAGTTTGAGCTCACCTGTGGATCCCCAGTTTATAGATTTGGATCAGGACTTGATAGTTATTGAATTGGCTATAGGAAAGAAGAGAAAAATACAATAAATGTATGGCCTATTTAGAAGATTCAACATATTGAAGCTGTTTGTCGAGCTTTGAATAAGTCGCTAACTTGACAACCTGATAACGAATTAGCTGATCAATAGTTAGTTTTGCTGCCAGGGCCAAGTTAATAGATGATAGATAATATGGCCGACTAATAAGATTTACTCGTTGACTATGATGAATTATAAAATCATAATCCCTTACTTAACTCGATCGAGTTAAATTGATTTGAACGAACATGATTTAGTCTTGATCTGAATTAACTTTGCTTAAACTGAATTTTCTGAATATTTAGGCTTCATTTGGGATGATTTTTTCGTTGCTTTTTAATTTTTTTACTAAAACTCTGTCTTAAAAAAGCAATAAAAAAATCGTCCCAAATAAAAGTGCGACAATAGTTAAAAAAATAAAATAATAAGAGTACCATCCAAAATAGAACCTAAAGCTTCCATTAGCTGAGTTGGTGGTCAAGCATGATTGGGAACTCCCCAATCCATGTTCGATTCCTCTCTGATACGGCACGACCCCTTAAGTGGAGAGAAAATAAGTCTGTGACCTTGTACCTGTGAGGCTGGTTGCTGGTATGCCCATCAAGGGATTACTTACGCCGCCATACATCATCTTTTGAGATGGCAGCGGGTAGATACCCCGTTCAAAAAAAAAAAGAAAAAAAAAAAGACTCATACATTATTTCTATGATCTGCCAAAACAAAATTAACAAATTGGATAAAAGGCGAAAACACCAATACAGAAGAATGAATTAAACATCCCCAAGAATAGCCTGTTACTTCCATTTAGAAATAATACATCTGCTAGTTCGAGCAGATTTTACAATCAATCAAGTTCTTCATTTAAAATCATTACTTCCTTGCCCATAGATTTGGCATCCTTGCCCTGAATACACATTTATTTTAAAAAAGAAATCAAGGAAGAATACTAAAAAAAAAAAAAAAAAAAAAACAACTATATCATCCCATCTCTCACTAGTTCTTCCAATCCCTTCCTTAGCCTCTCTGCAGCAACTTCACAATCAGCCTCTTTCAACCCACCAAATGAGACCCTGATGTAACCAGCTCCACCACTTGCACTTCCAGGTATTACCACTATCCCATGCTTTCTGACTAGCCATCGAACAACCTCATAATCATCAGAACAGTTCTCTGGGAGTTTTGCCCACAGGTAAATGGCACCTTCGCCGCCTTTAACCGCCTCTTCGCCGAGCGGAGAAAGAGCTCTCTTGAGCATCTCTCTGTTCTTCACAAGGTCCTGGACTCTCTCTCTTATCCATTTTGGGCCTACTTCCAATGAATAAAGCGCCAGGCGCTGTCCTATTATGGAAGCACAGATGGGTATGTTATCTTGGACTTTGAGGAGTTGAGCGCCAAAGCCTTCCACTTCAGTAGGGTAAGCTATCTGCATTACCACAAATAATGATTTATTATGTGCATTACTCTGCAAAAAATGAATGAAGAATATGTTCGCAAAATCCTGGAGTTTCTACAGGTTTTGTTGAGTTTGGAGGAGTATAAATGGCAAGGAAATATAGTTTGGTTTTGGTGTAATCCATGGAAAATAAAAGTTACAGGAAAATTAGAATTTATGCATATTTCATTATGATTCTCTGCTTGAAGCAGGTGGAAGATTAACAATGAAACAAGAAAGAAATTGCAATAGGAGATGGTAGAAGTTTACTGACATAACCAACACGCCATCCCATCATTCCATAAGCTTTAGAAAATGAAAAAACATTGACTATGTGGTCATCTTCTATACAAGAATGCTCCAAATCATCATACATGAAGTACCTGCGATTGAAAAATTGTAAGAACAGAAAGGTGGCCAATACAGATGGTGCGATGGTGAGAACGAAAGAAGTCATGTTATAAAGATCAGTGTTGGCAAAAGAGGAAAGGGAAGTTTCAAATAAGATCTAAGTCGGCCAATCAATACGAAGTTCAGAGTTATCCCAGCTTTGTGGGTTTGGTTGCATGAATTCCCATTCTCCATTCGCCCATGTTAAGATCTGCATGAATGTAATTTTTTTTTTGGCACTTCTATCCAAGTTGCATTTGTTCTGCCAATTTTTTTGTCAATCAATCAATCAATGATAGAAATGAAATACATTTGGTTCACTTTACTATTGTAATTCAAGTAAAAAGTCAATTTACCAAAATTATATGGATTTGTGATAGGAAACACTTGTATATCTCAAGTATTTCCTATCAATCTTCGGAAAACAGTGACAATTCTCCTCCAAAATCACAAAAACATTAGATAATTTGTATTATTTGATGTAAGGGAAACGGAAAATAGCAAGATACAATTGATCCTCTATTCGAGAGGAGGATCGATCTCTCAAAATCTCTAGACGTCGCTAGAGCCCAATCGATCTCTCAAAATCTATAGACGCCGCTAGAGCCCAATGAAAAACCTAAATCTAGGAGATCTCAAATTTCAGCCAAATTCAAGATGTCATAACCCAAGGAAAACAAAATATTTAATGCATACAAATCAAAAGGAAACCCCTAAACAATCCATACATTCAAATTTCCCTCCCAAATCCCTCAAAAATCCTTCCCAAAATGCTTCATTTGCTTCGGCGGCTCACGCGGCCTCTGCAAGAGTTCCGTTCATTCGCTCGTAAGCAGGTCCTGCATGGACCAACTGGATCGGTCCAGTGGACTGGCCGAATAATACTCCCCTCCCAAAGATCCACCTTTTCCCCAAGGTGGAAATATGCTCATGTTCCCATGGAGGTGGCCATCCTTGAGGAAACTGAAAAACCCTACCGACTTGCAAATCAAGGGCTGCACTGAAAGAGAAACATCCAGCCTGTGTAGTCCCAACATAAAATCTTCCCCAGCCACTTGTATGCTCCTAACTATGATCTTAAGTGATAACATAACTTTGGATAACTTTGCATCTTCCCTTATAATCACCTTTCTCCCATCCACCATTAATTCCATTGTGAGTGCTCCCCAATTGTCCTTGTTTCTCACAAAGTTTGCAACCACTTCATCCCCAGGATGACATCAGTACTTCCTAACTCTAGTGGGAGAAAATCCTCCCTTAGCTGAATCCCCTGGATGGTCAACACCACTCCTTTATAAATCCCCTGGCATTTCTCCACCTTCCTTGTACCCATCATCACCCCATAATAATCGGTGCCCATCAATTTCACTCCCAATTGGTTGACGACCTGAGTGGAAATGAAATTATGGGTAGCCCCATTGTCAATCAATACAATAACCTCCGTGACTGCTATTTCCCCCTTCACTTTCATCGTATGATTCGAAGTGAATCATACTACTGAATTCAGGGAGACCTCCGCCACATCCAGATGCAACTTGTCATCCATCATTCTCTCACCTCCCTCCTCAGTTTCCTCGTCATCACAAATGGTGATAGCCTGAAGAATTCGATCCCTACACCAGTGCCCTGGAGTATATTTCTCATCACACCGGAAACATAACTCTTTTGCCCTGTTCTCCTGAATCTCCTTCTCTATCAGCCTCTTGATATTTTTACCACTCCCTCCTCCTACTAGCTTCTCCCTGGTGGTCTCATTAATGTTGCCTGATGTAGGCCCCTTGGCTGCTAGAAGAGTGGTCATCATCCTGTAAGAGCCTCCTGAGCTACTGCTCCTGGCTCCCTTCTCTATATTCTTCTAATTTTCCACCAGTTGTGCCAACTTCATGGCCTCCCCAAACCTTCTGATCTCCCCCGTTTCCCCTCATTTCTCCATAGTTTCCTCTTTCCCAAGTGTTCGACCCCCCCCCCCAAGTTTCCCGATCTTCCCTTCTCCTTTCATACCATAACCTCCTTCGAATTCCCCTCTCCTCCCTTCAAAATCAGCCCCTCAACTATAATTTCCTTCCCTACATTCCCAATCAGCGTCCCGTTGCTCCTGCCCTACATACCCATGCCTTTCCCCAAACCTACCTCCTCTATCATCCCTCTGGAAAGGCTCCAGATGGGGTCTTCTCCTTTCTCCCTCTACGATCTCTACCTCCTCTTCATCCTTACGGATTTTAGAATTTGTATTTTGTCCTTCTGGTCCTCTCGCCACGGAAGCCGTCGATTGATTGTGGAATTCTAATATCTTCTTCATCATCTCCCGTAAGTGCGCAACTTCCCCTTCCATGGAAGAAATTTTGTCATCCACCATGGTTTTGATTTGGTTCATCTCTCATTCCAATCTCTCCTCCAAAGCGTTCACTTTTTTTGCCACCATCGTTCTCCGAATTTTTGTAGACACAAAAATTTGGATTTTTCCTTAAAAAAACAGCACTTTCCTTCTTTAGCGGCCCAAGAACAGGAGCTGGAATTTGCAAAAACAGTCCACCAACGATCCCAATATTTTCTTTGATACCAATTTGATAGGAAACACTTATAGATCTCAAGTATTTCTTATCAATCTTCGAAAAACAACGAGAATTCTCTACCAAAATCACAAAAACAGTAGATAATTTGTATTATTTGACGAAAGGGAAATGGAAAATAGCAAGATACAATTGATCCATTATTCGAGAGGATCGATCTCTCCCAAATCTCTAGATGCCGCTAGAGCCCAACGAAAAGCCTAAATCTAGGAGATCTCAAATTTCAGCCAAATTCAAGATGCCCTAATCCTCGGAAAACAAAGTATTTAATGCATAAAAACAAAAAAAGAAATCCCTGAACAATCCCTAAATTCAAATTTCCCTCCCAAATCCCTAAAAAATCCTTCCTAAAATGCATCATTTTCTTCGGCGGCTCACGCGGCCTCTGTAGGAGGAAAAAGAGTTCCATTGTTTATCTCGTAAGCCGGTCCCGCCTGGACTGGCGGAATCGGTCCAGTGGACCGGTCAAACAATTTGCTTCATGCTAAGCCTTTTTAATATTTTGGTAAAGGAAGTTATCCAAACATGTAGTCTTGAGGAATCCAACCACATAGTTTCACAAAAATAAATTGTAAGATATAGGATGCCATAAGAACTTAGGTTTTTAATACATATCTAATATGAGATATAGAAAACTCATACAATAAACATTTCAAATTCATATAACTCAAGCTATTAAACAAAACAAAAATCTAATGAAATGTAAGGTAAGAAAGCACAAGGATATACTCAAACCAAAATGTAAACCTCGTACAGAGAGAGAACCCCTCCAAAACTCTTCAAATTTCTCATTTGATTAATGAACTGAATCTCGAAAATAGGAATGGTAGATCTCCATAGAAATTTTATTCAACCACACATTGAATTTTTATATTTTATATATGCCTCAAATCCTATTTATAATCATAAAACTAATAATTAATTCCCTTAACCAATTGAAGATGATAGAAAAATAAGATGCTAAAAGACCTAATCACACAACAACAAAAACAACAACAAACTTTTATCTCACTATGTAGGGTCAGCTACATGAATCCTTTTTCTCCATTGTGTCCTGTTAAGAGTTAAATTCTCATCTAAATCTAATAAAGAAATGTTATTTCTAATATTTTCTAACCAAGTATTTTTATGTCTACCTCTACCTTTCTTAACATAAGTCAAATCTAATACATTTATTTTCCTAATCAGGTCAACGAAAGGCGGTCGTTTTATGTGAACAAACCATCTAAGGCGACTCTCTAATCTTATCTTCTACTGGAGCTACTCCAACCATTTCAAATATATGTTCATTTCGTATCCTGTCTCTAAGAGTAAAGTCACTCATCCACCTGAACATCCTCATCTTTGCAACACTTAACTTAATATCATGCTTCTTTTTTAATGGCCAACATTCTGCACCATAAAGCATTGCAGGTCTCACTACTATCTCATAGAATTTTCCCATATGTTTGAGAGGGACTTTTCTATCCAACAAGCCCGATGCATTCTTTCACTTCAACTATCCAACTTGAATTCTACTAATAATATCCCCATCTACTTCACCATCACTCTAAACAATAGACCCAAGATATCTAAAATGTGTACTCTTATTTATGACTTGATCACCCAAAATTACAATCCCCCCACTAGATTTATTATTACTAAAATTATATTCCATATATTCGATTTTAGATATACTCAAACGAAAATCTTTAGACTCTAAGGTTCACCTCCATAATTCAAGTTTACTTTCAACTCCCTCTTTAATCTTATCAACAACAAGAATATCATCAGCAAATAGAATACACAAGAGTACAACCTCTTGCAAATGTCTAATGAGAACATCCATGACTAAAGCAAAAAAGATATGGACTTAAGGCTAATCCTTGATGTAATCCAATTGAAATAGGAAAATATTTGGTTAAACCACCTTGTGTTTGAACACAAGTAACATCTCATGCATACATATTCTTAATGACTTGAAAGACCTAATCACACACACAAACAAAAAAGAAAAAACCCAAAACCCAGTTGACGCTAAGAAGAAATATTTTAGAAAAATGACCACTGATAAAAAGACCCCTCCGCAGATTAAGCCTTAATGATTGGTTAACTGAAGAATTCCACAGGAACAAAGAGTTGTTGTAAAGTAAGATGGATAAAAAATCTAAATAGAAAGAAAGTCATTCAAGCTATTAAGGAGGCCTATATAAGGAATCTAAATAGAATTTCTTGGCATTAATAAGATAAGAATTAAAATAAAGATCCAAATATGAAAAACATAGGATTTCAAATAGATCACATCATATGCATGTACATATAAATGTTATGTGTGAAATCTGATTGTGTTGATCAATCTAGTTGTTCTGTTGTCTCGGACCTCAAAGCTTGTTGTGTTTGCTGGGGGATGCGGGGGGTTTACCCACTACTTGGGTTTGGGTGCT